CAGCAAAGTTGTCCCAGACTATCACACTACCACCACCTTGTTTGACTGATGGCATGATGATCTTCTTATGCTGAGAAAAGGTGAGATGAGAAAACCTTCCAAAAACTTTTGTCTTGTGAGTCCAGACATTATTTTGCCAAAGGTTTTGGGGATCATCGAGATGTTTTTGACACTGTGAGATGAGCCTTTCTTTTTGGTCAGCAGTGATTTACTTAGAACTCTCCCATGAATACAATTTGTATCCATTCTCTTATTGTTGAATCATGAATTCTGACTTTTACTGAACCAAGTGAAGGCTGCAGTTCTTTAGATGGTGTTTTGTGACCTCGCTTGCGGTGTTCCTGTAGATTGTGGCCTGATCTGTTGCTTTTTGTAATCTTTAGGCTGATTCACTTTGTCACAAAGGTTATGTTTAAGGAAATTCTTAAAATGAACAGGTTTGGATACATTGGACTATTATTTTCTTAATGATTTGATGCATGTCACTGTGCCAAATATGCAAAAAAAATGAAGACAACAAAATAATCAACAATAGATAACATATCTATTTTATGTAACATTCTATTTTCAGACAACAGTTTTGATTAACAGAAATTGTCACTGACAACAAACAAAAGCCTCCAGAAAATAGTTTACTAGCTGATAGCACATGTTGTTGTTGTTGTTGTTATAACCCAATCTGATAAGAAATACCTCTTACACACTTGCAGGGTTTACTTTACCTCTCCTCCTGTCTCGGTATATAAGCCCCAGTAGAACAGTGGACACCAGGTAAGGCGTTCCCACCAACAGGTGAAATACTAGTCTTAAGACAGAAAAAGAGCAGGGGGCGGCCGGTTCAGCTGCAGATGTAGATGAAGGAAACTCCTGAGATGAAGCTGTAAAGAGATGAACATGGAAATTATACATTTAAATGCTTTATTAAATACATGTTTTCTTTAATTGTGTCTTTTTTAGGGGTAGAATGTTTTTCTCTCCTCATCATTTGCAGATGTACAAAACAAAGACAAATATGCAAATTTTGGAGTTTATAGCAGCCATTTTTTTTAAATGTCTTTTTTCTTAAAATGCTTAAAAATTTTAAATTGCTCAACATTGTGTATGTGATGGGATTTTTGTTGCTCACCATCAACTGCCAGCCAGCTGCCTAGTGATTCTTCACCTCCTGAAATGCTGCATTTATAGAGTCCTTCATCAGATTTAGAAACCCTTTTAATGGTGATTTCTCCTGTGGAGTTCCTTTTGATGCAGTGGCCATCTTTATAGAAATCAAAAAACTGGTTGAAGGACTTTGTCTCAGGTGTACAATGCAGTGTTACAGTGGCTCCCTCGGACACGGGAAGGGCAGGACTCTCCAGAATCACAGGCTGATCTTTGGAAAATGCAGAAAATCAAGATTTGTCATTTTTATAGGTTTTCTTTGCTTCGTTTCTAAATGATCAGCCTTAATAAGTGTGACTTTAAGTTTAAATGTTGCATAGCAGAACTTAACGTAGTGTTATTCATACCAGTAATGGTAATGTTGACCACATTGCTCTGCTCCCCACTGACAGACTCACACCAGTACACGCCGCTGTCTGGTGGGTAGGTTTGTCCGATGATGCAAGTCGAACCCGAGGAGGCATAGCCCCAGCCAGAGGAGCAGGGTCTGGTCCCCCCTGCGAGCGTTTTCCTCTTCACTTTCCAACCAGTGTTGTTCAACTGTTCGCCACAGCTCAAAGAGATGTTGTCATACCTGAAGAACTGAGACCTGTCAGGGTTGACCTGAAGACAGGCTGTAGGGAAGGAAGGGAGAGA